ACAAGCATCTGCAACCCGTTTTGGGCTCTGGGGGGTGAAGGGAAGGAGAAAAGGGAATCGACGGCGGCACTGGTGTTTATGCAGCCGTTAGGATCCTTGCGGGAATGGAAGGTGGGTTATCCATCTCCGGGGGCAGTGGGGATGTGGTATAATACCCCCCCCCCTCCCCCTGATTTAGGTCGTTCCCGGCCCCGCAGCTGCAATCCCTGCCCCCGCCTCCTAGAGGTAGCTCGCCGCGGAAGCCAGGCTAAGCATTTTCTCTAGGTGAACGGAAAGTCTATACCGCTTCGAATGTACATATCTCGCAATTTCTCTCCTAAACTTCTATACACAATCCCAAGTTTCTGTTCATAATCCAGGATTTGGCATCATTGGATGCCATTTCTACCATTGCATTATAATCCAGTCCGAGTTCGGCTTAGAGTTTTCATCACAATGCTTTTACCTTTCTCGTTCATTCGCTTTTTTCCTTCCCCCAAAAATCCTTTTCTCCTTTCCCCCCCCCCTTTCCCCCCTTCCAGGTCACAGACCCGTTTAGTCAGCCATAGAGAAAAATGCAAAGCAAAAGTTATCTCTCTCACTCATCACAAGCGACCAAAAAGCCAACGCCGCTAACCAATGCCCGCTGGCGACCGTTTCCCACAATGAACACAATTCAATAAAGAAAGACCCCATCCCTCCCAGCCCCCTCCAACTTCCGCAAAAGGCAAGCCAAAGCCGAATCTGTCATACATTCACCCCCTCCCCTCCCCCCCACATGCACACACATACACACACAATCTGATCTTGAGCACATAGAGGCGGATTTCAACCCATGAGATTGGGATTAGGAAGACAATCAACAGACAAGGCCTGAGTGCAAAGCTCCAACGGTAACGTGAGGGGGCGCGGGGAGGGTGGATGCATACCGGAGTTGTGAGGTTCACCTGTAATGTTGCGGTTGAGCGTGGATCCGAGAACTTACAGCCCTTTTCCCTACCTGTCCGAATTTCTAACTACGCAGCCCCCCACCTCCCACATCCCCATTGAGATCTAAACTGTTTTTTTCTTCTCCCCCCCACCGGTCCGGGTAACGGTACCGTGCTGGACCGTGTTGTGTTGCATCATAAAATATGTTGAGTCAGCTTATCCTTACAATCAATATCAAGCGAGTGAGAGTTCGTGAGTCTGCTGCAGCTCATTGCTTACGGAAGTGAGAGGCAATACTCATGCCCACGAACAAGAGCAAACAGCACGAAGCCCGACGAGCGGCTGATATTGGAACCGGGTTTCAAGTTTCCCAAAGGTTAAATTATGGCCAGTCTGTATTGGCGCTAAAGGAGGGAAGGTAAAGCCTTTCCCACATTGGTCAAGGCTTCGGGAGGGAAGGGGCGCACATAGCTCTCGCTTCCAAGGATGAGACCACTAAGCGGTACATAAATCGGACAAGGCCATCGGCTGCACGAATCTACAACAACATACTGTCCCCTGGCTGCATCGTGTTCCCAGCACGGGACCCAATACTGCAACAAATGCGGTCAATCATGATATCAGCCACAACATCTCCAAAGCCACTTCTCCACCATCCCCCCAGCAGGCAACACAAGCAATGATAAAAATATGGATGGATTGATGCACATGGACTATTTAACAGAAGAGTGTGGAAAAGAGATCCCCCAAACTAAAATAAAAAATAAAAAGCCCCTCAATTCCAGTCTAATCCTCATCCATAGCCTCCACATGTCCAGGCTTACTCCCATCAATATCAGCTGCAAAGCTCACCTCCTTATCCACCATCTCAACCAACGCGCCCACAATATTCTCTTCAATACCCCGCTTACCCAATTCCTCCAAATGCTTCTTCGGATCCATCTTCCCGACAAGGCGGGTCTTCAAATCATCCTTCGTCAGGTCGTTCTCCGGCTTGACGCGCTCCCCGCAGGAATCGGTCAGGCGAACCATCTTTTCCAGCGCTCTTGGTTCTCCTCAGCAAGGGGCTTAAAGTCTCTCATCGTCAGGCCACCGGCCCAAACCGTCTTGTGCAGGTTCATGAGCATGTTCTCCAGATGCTTTTTGCGGTAATTGATGAGGATAGAGTCGTAATGTCTATTCAACCCGTGGATCAACACCTAGATAGAGGGCTTGTTGAGATGGCCGAGGTTGGAGGTGGTCTGGCGGGGCTCCTGTCCGAGCGTGAGGGATTGTAGGTTGAGGTAAAAAATTAAAAAGTTAGCTCCGTATGGATAAGTGAAGAAAGGTCCGATAAAAACAAGCCATCCTCGGAGGTGCGCTCACCCCGCCAAGTGCTTGAACCGTAGCATACATCTGGAGTCGATCCACAGTAGATTGTGTGAGGAGTGGAGCGAGTGTTTGATGGATGAATGCATAGATACAAGCCGGATGCGGGAGACAGAACGCCACTCTGTTGTGTTGCTTGGAATGACCACGAGGGAGTGGCAGAATTACTGCTCGGACTGGGCGAAGTCACCCGAGCAAGCCGAATACGTTCGGCCGGACACCGCTCCGGTGGGTTGTCTGGCATGGCCATAGAGGAGAGTATCTCTACTACAACCTCTAGCGTCCGCCACACCCCGTGCGACCTAAATACGAGGATACATCACTCCCTCACCACCTCCGACCACGGATAGCTCACCTGCCACCTCCGTAAGGACTGCAACATCTCCATAGCCCCCCGCTGCTGCCCCTAACATTTCCTCCCCCCATTCTCCCCCTCCCCTCCCCCTCCTCGACTCTAAAACGTTGACCTGTAACAATTTCTGTCACCTCATTCCTTCCAGAGGCAGCTTGCCGCAGAGACTCGGCTCAGATATTCCCTCCGGCCGAGGGAAATCATGTACCGATCGGAATACACACACCCTCACAAACTCTCCCAAACGTCTATACAGACTTTCTTATGTAGCTGTGTCGGGATTCCCAAGTTTCGGTTTATAATTTCGATTGACTTCAGTGAAGGGTTATCCCTACCCCAACGAGATAATTCAGTCTGAGTCTGGCGTAGAATATATACTGTTCTATAATGGTGGGTGCCTCCAAAATGAGCACGCAACAAAGAACGCAAAAACACGGGACAGGGTATAGGGCACTTCAACAAAAAATACATAAATTAAAAATTAAAAATTATCACTATAATTATATACAAATACAAGGTACTCCAATCCACAACTTTCAAATTCTTAAAAGCATGAATTTTACTAGGACTCTGCAAGAACCTTCTCACCAGAATAGGGATTAGGTTTTAAGGTGTGTAAACCAAATCAACAACGAAGAACTATAAATAATAATAGGGCAACCACAGAAAATAATACTATTATGAAACATTAATCAACATAGCCTAAGAGCCAGCAGTAATCACACAAGTTGATAACAGGGAACATTTACCATATATAATTTAATAACCAATAATATTTTAGTTTCTTATAGGCTAGGTTACGATGGTAATAGATCTTGGTGGAGTAATCTTAATATCTATAATAATTATCATATTAACTCTACCTCTTTTAAAACTTATAGAGCAGTGTAGAAACACACGGTCAAATACTTGTCAGACGATATACAACACCACTCAACCCAAACCATTACGCTCTACCAACCCACCCACCCAGACAGCCAGTCCCGAGCACCGCAAAGACTGCTCCGACACAGCCCTCAACTACGATTCTACCCATGGCTGTCTCCAGTCATTTAGAGGGATAGCAAATGTGACCCGTTCGTCTTTCCCCACCGAGATTCTATCCACCCCGGGCAGGTAAGGAAAACCTCACTAGAGCTACACCGCACTGCAGCTCCAACCCCAGTGGGCAGCGGCCCCCGCAGCCTAATACCGACCACAAAGAGCAGATTTCAGCCCACGAACCCAGGACCAGACAAAATGAGACCAAACCAGAAGCACAAAATCATTAGCGCATGTGAGGGTATCATCCGGGGCGGGCCACAGAGGAGCATCCAGGCTGGGACTACCATATCCTCCCGCAATGCCCCGGGTCAATTGGATATTTAAATATCCAAATTGGGCCTTCCCCCCCTCTTTACTCCATTAGTGAACCATCCCCCCTCCTATCACAGATCACCATTCGGATCGGAAGCCATTTTTCATAGCGACCTCGCCAAGGGTGTCTGATACATTTACGGTGAGCCACTAGTACGCACTATATAGTGGTAATATTGTACCATATTCTACGCTAGGTGGGCTTCCCTTCCAATCCCAATGCTTATACGACTGACGCTCTATAATGACGTTACCAAATGACTGGGGAATAAGTGATGTTCGATAGCCAAGTTACCCACTTAGAGGCGATTCCACTCTGATGTAGCCGTGTGTATTATGAACAGAGTGAAGTAGACTTTTTTTCCCCACCCGTACTGTAGAGCACACCCGCGTCCGCAAAGTTCCCGTAACTTGTAACTAATCGCGGTAGCTTTGTCTGGAGCGTACTTTATTGCGCAGTTTCCTTCAAAGCCATTCACCAAGATTTACCCAACTAGCCCAACTAGTCGCGGGAGTCTAAGTGGTGAATCTCTGATCCTGAATCATCCTAGGTTCTAACGAAAGGCTAGGCTATTCACCAAGATATCCAACGTCTCCTAGACTACTACCGGCACCTATGTTAACCACCAAACAGTATGTTGTTTTATTGAATTTATCCCCGGATCGTCAAAAGGATGCGGTAGATTACGATACACGTATGAGAGCAACCAGCTACAAATTCTGTGCTCGGTGAGCCCCTATGGATATCAAAGGGCACATTCCGTATCTTTGCCGAACCAACCTCCTACGGGTTACGAGAAGAACCCACCAGCTTGCGCCGACAGTAATTTACAGAGAAATATGCTATAGTGCGTTAAATTAAGGGATATGCGAATTCTTCAACTGGTCAATTCATAGGGCTTGACGTACTCTACTTGCGCTTGTACCAGGCTGGAGGAACTCACTAACAGTGCCAAGGTTACAGAGCCCCGCGAGTGTTCGTCCATTGCAGCAAAAGATTTGCGCCACGTAGCGGGTGAGCGCCTACAAACTTGTGGCATTTTGCACTACCGATACAGTAAGTATAAGCAGAGGGTATGCCGCGAAAGTTCAGGGAAGGGTAATTGGAAAGTTCAAAGGAAAAGAGTCTATCTTTAAGGTTCCACAAAAGACCCCCCCTTTCCTCAGCCCCAAGGAATTTTAGCAGTCGACTACCGATGACTTCACCATTCATCCATCATCCACGATATCCCAAGCTACAAAACTCTGCAAATGTCTCAATCACTTAGTAACAATATCAACTCTTTTAATGTGTCCAACACCTTTACTCTTGCCGATGACCGATCCAATATCCTAGCCTGGCTATCCCCACTTGATCCCAAGTCAAGGCATCAGGACATTCGAGAACGCAGAGTCGAAAATGTAGGGGAATGGCTCTTGCAGACCGAGGAGTTCAGAAACTGGTATGCCGGTAGCGAGGAAAGTGAATCTAATAACGGATTATTGTTTTGCTATGGAGATCCAGGGGTGGGAAAAACTTACATTAGGTAAATAGGATGAACCTGATGGAATGGAATAAAACGGGCAAGCGCTGACAAGCCACGACATTAGCTCGCTAGTGATAGACAGCTTGTGCGATCGAGCGAGAGGACAAACTGCTAGTGTCGCATGCTTTTATTTTGACTTTGCCGCCCAAAAGGAGCAATCTTCCACAAGCGTACTGCGTGCCCTATTGAAACAGCTGGTCGGGGGACTGGAGGATCTCCCGGAGGAGATATCGCAAGCGTACCAAGACCAAAAAAATTCCCTCGGTGGACGGGAACCGGGGCCTTCCGATATCTTAAAGATGTTCCAGATTACCTCCTCCAAAAAGCGTACCTTCATATGCATCGATGCTCTAGATGAATGCGCAGCCGGACATCGAGTCAAGATTCTTGATTCGCTAAATAAAGTTCTCCAAAATTGTCCAGGCACTCGAATATTCGCGACTGGGAGACCGCACGTTCGGCCCGAGATCGGAAGGCGTCTAGCTCGGAGAGGAGCCAGCTTATCCATAAGTCCCAAGAGAAACGATATTATCAGGTATCTCCATAGCAGACTAGACGAGGACACGAACCCAGATGCAATGGACAGTAACTTGGAGGCGGACATCCTGAAAAAGATCCCTGATGACATTTCCGAAATGTACGTACGAGCCACAACACCAAAGAAGCTGGCTCAAGTCATCCGCTGACACATACATATCTAGATTTCTACTTGTCTCGCTCAACATCGATGCCATCCTGCAAGAAACAACAATCCATCGCAGGCGACAAAAGCTTAGTGCAATGACCGATGGGTTAGGGTTGGAGGAGGTTTATGGTGCAACGATAGGTCGGATAAAGGAACAGGGTGGGGAGAAAGCGAGGCTCGGAATTGCCGCCTTGATGTGGATCTCTCACTCGGAGCGGCCCTTGAAGTCCGACGAACTATGTCACGCCCTAGCGGTCGAAATAGGGTCGCCGAATCTCAACCCCGACAATGTCCCTTCAATAGGGACATTGCTAGCTTGTTGTCAAGGACTCATTGCTGTAGACAAGGAGGCTTCCACTGTCCGGTTAATCCACTTTACCCTACAAGAGTACCTCCGGGCTCATCTCGAGCTCTTCGGTACACCTTACTCGACAATGGCCGAAACCTGCTTAAGCTATTTGAACTCCTGCCAGGTCAAGGCTCTCTCTGCCAATCCCTCTCCAGATCTAAAAGGCACGCCCTTTCTCGAATATTCATCTTTATTTTGGGGAGTCCACACAAAACGGGATCCTTCGGATTGCGTGAAAGTGCTTGCGTTGAAGTTGTTTGACGACTATGATAACCACATATCGATTAGAATCCTCTTGAAAGCGCAGAAACCATATCCTTACGGCCTTAGTTTCATTAAATCTCTTGTGTTGAATGGTCTGCATTGTGCATCCATCTTCGGCATCGTTGAGATTGT